GCGAGTATTCGTTTTCGGTCGATGGCTTTTTCTATAGCTACCATTCAAAAGGCTTTAAGCTAAATATAATTCTTTCTATTTTTGTTGGCCATTGGTATAGATATTTCCTTTCATTTGGCTATAATTTTGTGTTCAGATTTTTGTTTTTGTTTTGATACATTGAGTGATACGGGTCTACATTTAAGTTCCAACAGCCGATTTCGGTCTGAACATGGAAAATTGGTTCGAAATCCGTATGAATTCGGTATGGATTCTTCGACGGCGGCTAAAAATCCGTCCGAAATTGTCTTGTTTCTTTGTAGTCTCATGTCTCTAATGTTTAAAATATTTTTGGTAGAAACCGAGTAACACATCATTAGTTCTGACTATCAGAATTTAGATTTTAGACCGACTATTCACTGTTGGGAGAAATATTTGAAAGTCTCTAGTAATCTAGTATATATTGTAGTCGATCGAATCGTAAAATTAAAGGTTTACTTAATTCCAAAAAAATGTAGGGAGAAACATTTGAAAAAGAAAACAAGATATAACACAACGAAATTTAGCATTGAAAATGCCTTTTTATTTTCAGTAATATTCAATCTTCTACGTGGTCCTCTTCTTATATTCCCTTGTATAGTTGTGTTGTTTAAAATGTAATGGGCTACTATTGTAGTATTTGAATATTGCATGTAGTGGGTATCAAAATAAGGAATATGTTCTTGCTTACACGTCAATCTCTGCCTCTATGGGGGAATCTGAAACTAGCTACGAGTGGAAGAGGAGACCCACATTCCGTGTACAAGATATTAGATTTAGGGCAAAGCAATATTTGAAAACAATCCAAGAATATTAAGATATTTATTGAACCATGACTGTCATCTGATATTTTTTGGGATATTTTCTGGAAATAACAAAACACTTGTACAAACAATTATGTGCAAACAAAAAATGCATGGAAGAAAAAACCACATGGTCCAAACTTTGGCTTCCTCTCGTAGTATCATTTTCTAAAAACAGAAAACCTCGAAAGGATTGGTATAAAGGCATCTGGTTCAAATATGCTACACCAAAGCAATCAGCATAGCAAACTAGAAATCACCTACACGACAATGATTTAGCACAACAACAACAAAAAAAAAGACAATGATATGGAGAACTTTTTTTTTGGTTGAAAACCGATATGGAGAACTTTCACAAGGTCATAAGTTCACTTTGGACTAGAACCAGCTCACTCGGCTCCTATTTGATCATGATTTCGATGACATCATTCTTTTCCTTATAAGGTATGTGTTGCAAACCACTATACACCATGTCTAGAAGGAACGAAATTGCCATCGTCATGGAGAGATCACCCGCTTTCAATCTCAAGAATCATCAAGATTATTGATAAGAGAATATTCGAAATCGTCTAACCTCCATTTGAGCTGTTGGAGATCACGCGTATGCCTACACCAATATAAAACTGACATCAACAATTGAAGTCTCTCTGCTCTCGCACTCTCTTTTGAAAGCTCAACAATGTTGTGTTTGGTTTTGTTTCTTAGCACAAAGTTTAGAAACAGAAAAAACAGTTTTTTGTTTTGTTTTGAATATATAAATTATTTAGCTCAATATTATGTTTTGAGTAAGGAATTAGGAAACTAACATGTTTATAAAAGAATTTAGGTGAGTAGTATAGAGAATATATACTTGGACAAATTTGCCCTATTAAATTTAGTAATTATTGTTGGTAATAAAGATCCATAAAAATCAGTGGTGAAGAATATAGAAAGCAGGTTTGGCGGATGATCTCGAAAAGGAAAAATAAATACGTATAGTTGACTATATTCGATTTTCTTTTATGATGTTGTAGTTAGGTATAATTCTAATACTGTATTTAACTATTTGTTTCATATTATAAAAGAGACTATGGTTGTTGTGATATTAGATGAATGGATTATTTTGGAGACTGGTGTTCGGGATTTCAAACATAAGCAGGACGAGTTGTTCAAATGTGGTTATTGTGTTTATAGACAATATAGTTAGCTATGTCATGAATATTGTATATATATATATAATTAAGTATGTAACACGTATAGTTAACTATCTCTTGTTAATGGATAATATAGGTTAGCAATGTCATGAGTCTTACGTAAATATAGTTAACTATGTAACACGTGTAGTTAACTATCCATTGTTAATAGACAATATAGTTAGGTATGTCATGATAACTGTGTAAATATAGTTAATTATGTAACACATAACTAGCGCTTGTTAACGGACAATATAATTTGCTATGTCATGAGAATTTTGTAAAAGAAAATTTTGGACAAAAGAAAAGTTTTTATTTTTATTTTTTAAATTGTAAAAATCTGTATTAATTATAGAAAGACAAAACCGGGATTTAGTCTAACTTAAATGCTAGTTACCACATTATGTTTTACATGGTGTTAGATAATTAATTATAGATGGAGATACTAATATACATACTAATTTCTCTATAATATTTCTTTTAAAAAGATAATTAACGTAAACAAAATATAATCAATAGTAGTCGATATATATTAAGAGTATTAATTAGTGCTAAGAATAAAAATTTATGTGGGAGTATTAGGATGCTGCGAGTGGGTCGAATGTCGGAATCGAAGAAATGCATGTTTGAAGCACATGTAGGCGAAGATAATGACACAAATGGAGGCAAAGCACAAAGCAACACATTAGCAACATCGGCCATAAAATAAAATTTCGCATCTTTTGTTTTAGCAAATCGTACTATTCGCGCATTACCGTAAATAGCAACCGCGACTAAAGATAGAGAAGTTAATCCGATTATGACTAACCCTGCCGGCAGAGCCGTGCCTTAATATAAAAATTTGAAACATTGGCTTATGGCATCAAACAATTTGGAAGAATTGAAGAACATATTTTTATTATTTTATTTTA